TATAAACGTCATATAAGTCACAACATACGTTTACCTAATTAAACACATTCATCAATTCACATAAACGTTTATATACATGTTTATTTCACCAATGCATCATATAAAGATGATAATGCAACTCATAGAGACCGACTCACGACTCTATGCAGATGCAAATGCGGTACCGACTCGTTCAGCAGGTTCAATTGAAGGACCAAAAGGAACCATCGCTCGTTAGTGAAGTAACTCCCCGTCGGGCCTACGATGTTCACCCATCGCTCACACCCCACATAGGCACACGATGTTTTAGGATTGCTCACACCCCACAAGGGCACAAAATCGTTCTGCAGATCCTCCACGGGATCAAGAATAAACCATCGTTCACACCCCACAAGGGCACACAAGGTTTCTGCAGATCCTCCACGGGATCAATAATAAACCATCGCTCACACCCCACAAGGGGACACGGGGTTTCTACAGATCCTCCACGGGATTAAGAATAAACCATCGCTCACACCCCACAAGGGCACACGAGGTTTCTGCAGATCCTCCACGGGATCAAGAATAAACCATCGCTCACACCCCACAAGGGCACACGAGGTTTCTGCAGATCCTCCATGGGATCAAGACACAAGAATGCAATCATGATGCTACACACGCAAAACAACTCCACACACTCTTGAAATGCATACATATCCACAAATATATACAATTACGCATTACACCATACACACAAGTACGTACAATTATACACATAATTGCCAAACAGCCACATCTCACACTTTTATACAACAATCACATACACATACCATATGACTCATATTAACTCATCAACCCCCACAAATCCTCATTTGGATTATGGGTACATTGCATATACCCCACCAGGAACAACATCACCGTTATATTACCCCGGTAATTACTACACTTAAAAACGACACCTTGTCATTCTACCCCAGTGAGTAAGAATCTCGCACGCTTACATATTCTCAACATCATTAACATACATATATCCTCATGCATTCTTCACACCTTATCACATAAAATCAATATACAAACACAAGGTCGTGCCAACTGCAACAAACTCAATCACATACATCATGCATTCATGTTTAATTCAAGCAATGCACATAATTACCAAAAGGCCATACTTCGCAATCTAGGATTCACGCCATAAGGCTACCCACAACACGTCTTATCTCAATAATACACAAACTATTCATGTTATACAAGGATTAACATAATTGAACCGAACAATCAACCATTGGATGGAAAACGCAAGAAAACAACGCACTGACATGTTCGCTACCTTGCTCGCCTAGCGAGCTCCCAGCGAGTGCTCGCTACCTGTTCTCCTAGCGAACAAGCTCGCGAAGGCAAACAGAAGCCACTGACTTGATTCGCTACCACACTCGCTCAGCGAAGGCCTAGCGAATCGCTCGCCACCCCTTTCGCTACCAACGAAGAACACCAAAAATCATTATGTCCAAGTCTGGGACCATTCGCTATTGGCTCGCCACAGCGAATGTTCGCGACCCGCTCGCCTAGCGAACGTGCTAGCGAGGGTCTACGAACTCAGAATTCCTCAATGTCCAAAACTCCGAAATTCATCAAAATCTACCTGATTCAACCCCAACTCGTCTCAGTAGCCTTAGCCCAACATTCCTCGACTAAACTCTACCACTCATCCTCATTTTCAACCGTTAAAACTCGGTTTCTACCGATTAAACTCATTCATACCCTAGAATGGAAGATGAGGGAAAACAACCAAACAACTCCAAACAATCTATACATAATCACATACATTGGTAAGATAACAATATTTCACACCCTTACCTCGATTAATCGGAAGCTAGAAGTTGTTCTTGAGCTTTCCAAACTTTCCCTTCTTTTTCCTTCTACTTTCTCTTCTTCCTCCACTTTCTTTTCATGTTTTCTCTTTTACATTTTCTCTCAGCTCCCCCTTCATATATCCTTCCCTTCAGTTTCTCTCCAATTTATTTCTTCTCTCAAAATATTTACCAATTCCTTTTCTCATAAAATATCCCATCTCATTCTTAATTAGAGAATATCTAGTAAGTCCACATTATTCCACCAAATAGAATAAATCAGTTAAATCCAATAATTCACTTAAATAATACAAACCAATCAACTAGTACCATTTATCAGTTATTGAAAATTGGGCTGTTACACAAGTAATCGTCATCCAACTAAAATACATCAACACATTAATTCAACTTCTCTCCGCCGTACGAATCGTCAAAACTTTTCATAAAACGTGAGATATGGTGTCTTGAGACGACGCAAAATATTGCTTCGTCCATAACCTATATGAGTCGAGATAAGTGGTGTGTTTCCCATGAATGTCGATATATGGAAATCCATTCAAAGTGATGCAAGCGTCCCCTCCTCACCCGTTTGGGTAAAGCAATATTTTCTGTCGAAGGCAACTAAGTATCATTCGATAAAATCAAACCAACAACCCGTAGTCCGAACTACGAACGCTCTGATTTCTCATTTGTTAATGAGAATACGTAGGCATAGGATTGCGAGATCCTAGCGAGCACTCTTCCCATTTTCCTCGTAGCTCCACGAACTATGAACGCTCTGATTCTTCACTTCTTTCAAGTGAAGGTACGTAGGCACAAGGGCTCTAATCCTTGGTGAGCACCCTAATCTAAAACCGTACATTTTCTCTTTAGAAATCTAATCCTTTTACCTTACCTTTACGCTTTATTCCTCAGAAGAAAACAAAAAAACTAACCTAACATTTCTCACGAATCGAATCAAGAGGTTCCCGTTGAGTACAACGGACGTGAGGGGTGTTAATACCTTCCCCTCACGTAACCGACTCTTAAACCTAGAACTTGGTTGCGATGACCATGTTCTTTCCCTAAAGGTTTTATCGATATTTTTCTTTCCCTCTTTGGGATAAATAAAGTTCGGTGGCGACTCTGTTTTCCGCGACCATTCGCGAAGGATCGTGCTTTTTTCGAGGTACGACAATAACAATATACACAAAAAAGGATAATCACCTAAGGTGTGTGAGTTTCAGAACAAACCAGCAAAGCACCTGATCAGCAACCAATCCTCGTTTAGCATTATTGTAATTGTCAATCTCCAAATTGATAACAGATCTAGAATGCTGAACAATAGACCGTCCAATCGAGTTAATCCAACCCTCATTTCCTTTATCAGAATCTGCAACAAAATACATAGTATCAGCATGATCAAAATACATAGCATCCCGAAGTTCAAAACCTAAACAGATCAAACAATACATAAATATGATTATTAACATCGTTTTCTTATACAAAAAATCATTTTAAAAACCTAAACTTAGGATTTAAGGTAGAAAAAGTTAATAACGAAACCTAAACCGATAAAGTCACACAGAAATCATTTCGAATCTGACCATCACCATACTCACTGCCGAAAATGTGTTTCCGCCATCACAGATCTACCATTGAAAAACTTTAAATCGTAAAAAGAAAAGAGAAGAAAGAAGAAGAGGAAAAGAGAGAGGCAGCAGAAGAGAAAATAAAGAAGAAGGGGAATAGAGAGGCAGTAGAAGAGACAAAAATCAGAAGACGAAGAAGAAGTGAGAGGAAAGGATGAGAGATTGAAAGGCAGAAGGATTTCTGCTGCATAGAGAGGAGGGAAAGAGAAATGAGAAAAAAAATTTGGAACGTGTGAAATATAGTATAAAAAGTTGAATAAATTTTATTAGTTACAACAAAATGAGACAAAGCTGGTTACTGAATCAAAATAATAGTCATAAAATTGATTATTCAATTTTAAATGGTAGCTTAGTTGAAAAATAATTAATTTTAGACCTAAATTGCCTCTAGGTGGGAGATGTGGCAAAATCATAAGTAATGATAAATTAGAGTTTTCTGGAACATTCAATTTTTTTATATTATAGATTAACACACCCAGTATTTTTATACTAGGTTGGCCATATCGCCATTGCTAATATATTAATCTAGTTATAACGTCACTTGGTGATCGATTTTCTTTCTTTAAAAAGCACACCAATTGTTTCATGTAATGTTTACAAAATTACAACAGTTTCTAAACCTATGAAACTCAAAAGCATGATCGATTAAAACTCTTAAAATACTCAATAACTTATAAATATTTCTCGATCTAAGTACCCCTTAAAAGATTTTAATGGCTTTACAAGAGAAAGATAAATATTGAGTAATAGTATGATAATGTTCAATCCGAAATAACGAGGGAAATAAGTTTTTATAAGCAGGGAAACCAAAGAGAAAAGATGCATTGAAAAATAGATATAAAAAATTATATATTAAAAAATATATTTTAATAATATGATTCAAATTGATATCTAGAGAGATTTGAACCATACAACTTTAAAGAATGAAAAAGTTACGCATGACTCGAATTATTTAAAATTGAGATTAAAATCACATACACTAGAGATTCTTCAAAATATAGTGTTTTAACAATGTGATTCTAATCATCCGATTTACTTAATCAAATCAAGAATCAAAAACAAAAATAATCATGTGATTTTAAAGAAGATTCGAATCATCTTATAGTGAGATTCGAATCACTAAAAACTAAGAATAAAATAAAAATTTGATGAACTTTTAATAATGCAAAGCACTATATTAAAAAAACTCAATTTAATATAATGTAAGGTTTAAAATTTTGTAAGACCTTTGTTAAAATATGTGATATGAAAGAAATTATTGATGATACAAATTACATCATTTATAAGGCTAGAGAAAGATTGACATCATTCAAAACAATCTAAATCTGGAACAATACAAACTTACACTTGTGCATTCACAAAATTATGTCTTCAAGAATTAAATGTCCAATCAAGACTCTAAATCCATCATATTAATTCACTCATTAAACCACTAGGAACAGGATTAACTAGTTTCACGAATATAATTCAAAATAGACTTTCACATAAAGAAGATTGCAATTATATTTATATCTCTGAATTTAAGGTGACACACATATAGAAGACAGTAATAATAACAATAAGTTTAGGTGTAGAATTTATAAGTTGAAGCATCAGCAATGATATTCCTGAAGCCACCAACCGTGGATGCCAGCATAATGCACACACCGATGCATATTGCAGCCTGAAAAAACACACAAATTGAGGCTCAATATTATATATAATAGCAGGATACATGAATTAATTTCCAAATTCTTACCCAATTGATGAACCAGTTGATGCTAAATCTCTTTGGTTTCTTGATTATTAGCCACATTATACTAGGAAGCTGAAACAATTGATGCACCACACCAGATAAATTGTTATTTTTCTGTGTTATGAATAAATGAATTCTTGTATGAAATGAAAGAGCCTTACAAAATATGAAGTAGGAGCGAAACCAAATCCACCAAAGAACCCAAGAAGATCGCCAAAGAAAGGGAATGTAACCCCAATAATAAGTGTAAATGCTGCAACAAAATAAGATGTTGTTACTTAAACATATGATATCATATATTGTCTGATGTGAGATTCTTTAACAACAGCAAGTAACATTGAATGGTTATGGATTTGTACATCACTCACCTACAAAGGAAGATCTAGCAACAAGTCTGAGAGGCAATCCTGGACGAAAATTCCAGGTTTTGATCATCATGTTCTCAATCAAATCGAAAACAGGCATAGCATAAACCTGATAACTACCAACAACATGAATGAATACCATCAAGTTAGCGGAGGCAATGAGCCAAGCAGGTCTTTCTAATGACATAAGAACATTATCATCAACATCTCTTCCAAATGCCCAATATCCAATAAGTGCAACTGGGAAATAGCATATTGCATTTATGATATAGGCGCCAATAGCACCTTTCCACATTGGTATTTTTGATGGTTTTTCGGGTGTTGATGGAATCGTTGCCTGAATTTCAAGGGCTACTGCATGGCCAGCAAATGCAAATGAAATCTGACCAAGTGCGTTGAAGATTCGGAATATTAAGTCACTTGTGCTTGTTTGCTTGTATGAATAGCTCACATTCTCAATCCTACCTCTCGACAAGCAAGCCACCCACGCTATAGTTGAATAGCTGCACCATACATATACTCGTTATTTAGCGTTTTAAAAGTAACGAATTGCTATGATAATCTATTACCAATGTTTCAGATTGAACATGTCTTAGTGTCAAACACAAATCGCTATTATATATTGGATATTATTGATGTAATATAGATTATTATATATCAGCAGTTTGTTCAGCTATATTAGGCATAGTAAATTGGGGGCAAATTCACAATTACAATGAGTATGGTATGATATATCTATTTGATTTATTTAATTGATTTGACGCATCAACCATAAATTACAACTTTTTCTAACAACAACCGAGTTATAAGACTTAGAAATGTGTTCATGGGACAGTTGTTTATGCTTTTCCACATGACTAAGTTGTTTTAGGAAGAATCCAAACAATACTTTTCTCAGGAAACCACTTTTTTGTGGATCTAAAAAATGAAGCTAGCTAAGAAACCACAAAAATCAAATAAACCAAAGCATAGTAGCATCTTAATATTAATTACCTCAATGACATGACAGCTGCTGCTAAAGAAACAGAAGCAACAGAATTGAAATTGGGAAGCTGAGAGAGAAAGAAATGAATTGAACCAAAAATCAAAATCCAGTAGGACTGTTTCAGTTGTGTGCAATTAGTGCATGCAATCTCCATGAACTTCTTTAGACACTTGCCTCCAATGACCATGTACACAATATCACATCCTATTTGAACAATTAGTTGCTGTGGCAGCACAATCCATGGTCCAAATTTTGGTCCAAAGGCATGTTTACCAAGATCCACATAACGATCAAATCGGGTACCCGGAACACACTCATGGAGCTGAATCATTTGCCACATTGTGTTTAAGGTTAGGCTCCATGATAACAACAACGTCAAAGTCCCTGGAATCCTGCAAAGAACAACGTGCAACGTAACGTTGAATGACTAAATATCATAATTTATAGATAGAGAGAAAGCATAGTATATGTATATTTTGCATTGCATTTGAATTACCATCCTAGATATGCCATGGCATAGGGAAGGCTGAGAACACCGGCACCTATCATGGCCGTCACAGTGTGGAAAGTTGAGTACCACCATTTTGCATTGCGAGATTTTCCATTGTTCGCCCATTTTTGATCAGTCTCTACTTCCTACAACAAAGCATGCTATATTCAACAACTCTATTAAACTCATAAGTTAAACAATTTAGAAATATTACTTGATTGAAAGGCTTACCTCCTTAGAAGGGGGAGAAGAAGTAGCTGAAACCATTTTTGAATAGAATTGTTGAGGTATAGTATGTATCAATGATGAAGATGCAATAATACTATTGTTACCACTTTTGCAGTTATATTTTCTGCTAAAGAGGAGAGGACCCTTACTAATGATAACTCAAAATACAACAACTATTTGTGTGTGTACCTAGTTCAAATCCAGACCACTTACACTAAAACAAAAATAATAATAACTTGTAGAGTAATGTTCTACTTTATGGAGAATCATTCATTTAATAATGTGACTCTATTGGAAACTGTAACACTTACGTAGTGCACCTACAAAATTGCACTTCCATTTTAGATCTCATGTAATATCGTATTTCGCCTTTATATGTGTGGGACACTAACAAACTTTCGACTTTTATTTAGTGGGTTTGCTTAGGGATTAAAAGATTGAGGATTACATGTAAGCCTCATGTCACAAATGATATCATAAATAAGCCTCTCAAGGGTTTTTGAAATCACTGAACTATAAAATTGTTTTTCCTTCTCTAACTCTATTAATATTTTAATTTAGTTATGTTTGTGTCAATGTTTTTTAATTTGATAATTTTTAGGTAAGTTAGTAGTGTAAGTTAATTGTGACGTGCTTAAAAGTCAAATTAGTTAAATTAGTCTCAAACACATCTTGCTTAATAGTCAAATTAGTTAAATTAATTCCAAACACATCTTTAACTCTTCCGATATTTCAAATTAGTCACCGACTCTATCAAACATTTTTCATTTCAGTTCCTTCATTAGTACGTATTGTTGCACCCCAAATTTGTCCTACCTTTACATAGTTTCTAGTGCCACTTTATTTTGAATGAATAAAATGACACAATTGGCAAGAAACTGTGTGTAAGGAGTTGTGAGTGTGAGAGGTCGAGAGTTTGAATCTCACCTTTTTCACTTTTTGTTTTTCTTTTATTTTTATTCTAACTTTTCTAATTAAAAAAATAATAAAAATAGTTTTTTTATTATTTAATTATTATTTTCGTATTTTATTTAAATTATTTTTTCACTTTTTTTTATTATTTAATTATTATTTTCGTATTTTATTTAAATTATTTTTTAAAAAATATTATTTTTTTCACTTTTTTTCATATTATTCATACAAACATCCAAAAATCATAAAATTAAAAATATTAGAAAAGATTTTATTCTTTTAAGTTTGTTTTAGTTTGTTTTTTTTGTTTTGACTAATTATTTAAGTTGGGCTTTAAAATAGGCATTAGGTTAGAGTTAACCCTAATTTGTTACCTATATAAACATGAGTTGCATTTGATAAAAGGGGGAAGGGAGGAAGAAAAGAAAAAACGGCGGCCGTTCTCACGACTTATCAGAAAAATCTTCGAGGCTTCATCATCATCTCAATCAGAAGAAGTTTCGGAACCGCGAGAAATCCACCTCTGAAAATCAACCGTTCGTCGAGAATCTGAATAGGCTTCATCATCATCTCAATCAGAAGAAGTTTCGGAACCGCGAGAAATCCACCTCCGAAAATCAACCGTCCGTCGAGAATCTGAATAATCTCACCGTAAGCATCGTTAATTGACTGTTATTTATTTATTTATTTTTTTCCTTCTTTCGTAATCCATTTCCAGGATAAGGAAGAGTAAGAGGAGAAAAGGTAATTAAAGGCAACTCTAATGGGTCAAATGAGCAGAAAGAAAGGAAATTAAAGTCAATCCTAATGGGTCAAATGAGAAAAACAAAGGATGTATCGCCACCCCAGTGGTTAAATGAGCAGAAATAAAGGATGTATCGCCACCCCAGTGGTTAAATGCCTTCCCTTTTCATTATCCTTCCCATTTTTTTTGTTTTTTTTTCTTCTTTCGTAATCCATTTCCAGGATAAGGAAGAGTAAGAGGAGAAAAGGTAATTAAAGGCAACTCTAATGGGTCAAATGAGCAGAAAGAAAGGAAATTAAAGTCAATCCTAATGGGTCAAATGAGCAAAAACAAAGGATGTATCGCCACCCCGGTGGTTAAATGAGCAGAAATAAAGGATGTATCGCCACCCCAGTGGTTAAATGCCTTCCCTTTTCATTATCCTTTCCTTTTTTTTATTATTGTTTATTATTATTTCTCCTTCCTTTAGTTTTTTTGTCCTATTTATTTTTATTCTTTTTTTTTTTTGTAAAATTATTATCTTATTTTCTTTTTTAAAATAATTGAGTTTGAGCTGCTAAAATTTTCATTAACAAAAAAAAAACTTTTATTAAAATCAAAACTAAAATATTTTTTTAATGTTTAAACTAAAACCTTTATTTAAATTAACATTAAACTAAAACCTTTTTTAAAATTAACATTAAACTAAGAACTTTTTTTAAAAATTAACATTAAACTAAAGAAATTTTTGTTAAAATTAAAACTAAAATATTTTTTAAATTTTTAAACTAAAAACTTTTTTTTAATATTAACATTGAAGCCTTTTTAAAAATTAAAAATTAAAAAGAAAAAAACTTTTTTATCAACATTAAAATTATTTTCTTCAAAATTTAAACTAAAATCCCTTTTTAAAACTAATAAAACTATAATTAAAATTCTAAATTGCATTTTGTCTTTCTTTCAATATTAACTGTTTCATTATTTGTCATATTTCTGTCTAACTTTTCACTAATGTTCTCTATTTTTCTCCTCAGATTATACTTAAATTCTGATTAATATTTATTTAATTTATGTTGTTCCATGGATGTAATTTACGCGAGGCCATGGTCGCGATTTATTTTATTTTGCATTTTTTTGGGACTTGTAATTTACGCGAGTGATCGTCGCAATGCTTTATTTACTTTCCGCATTTTATTTCTGCCATATAATATTTCGCCATGTTTGCATGTTTACCGTTAATCATCCCTCCGAAGGAATTAGGTCCAGCCGTTTGACCGCCGAGTCAATAACCTTAATTTTTGACCGTTTCAAAAACCCTAATAGCCTAGGTGTCCCGCCGTGGACGAAAATGCCCTTTACCCTAGCATTAGGTCAAAGAGTCGCCGTACTCTGTTTAGGGTTTCCCGCCGTGGAATCCCTAATTTCAACCATAAATTTTCAATTAACAAATTCAACATAGAAATAGGAGTTTCAAAGACTCCACATAAGCGTGTCCTTAAGATACGTTTATTCCCCATTGAAACCTTGACCATAGTCAAGACGTTTCTAACCTCCCTTTCGAGGGGAACTACGATTACTTTGATTCCATTCCCTGTAACAGCCCAATTTCGGTTTAACTAATTAATTTAGTTATTGGAATTATTTTAATTATGGGATAGTGTGATAATATGTTAAGTCTACATATTATGCTATTTTATCATTTGTAGAGTTTTGGAAAGTTTAGTGGAAAATATTTCGGACAATCTCAATTAATGGTTAAGTGGATGGTTTATGGAAATTGATTGGAATAATAGGTGTATTGGAGGAAATAGAATGGAAAGAAATATAAAGAATAGAAATAGAAAGAAAGGATATAAGAGTAAAGGAGGAAAGAAAAGAGAAGAGAGAAAGAAAGGGAGAAGAAGGAGAAAGGAAGAGAAAAGAGAAGAAGAAGAAGAGGAAAAGAGTGGAATCATCAAGAGCAACTCAAAGCTTCGATTAATCCAAGGTAAGGGTGTGAAATTTTACTATCTTAATCAATATGTTTGGTTATGTATGTGTATGGTTGATTGGTTAGAGTTTTGGAGAGTTTTCCATAAGCTTCCATTTTAGGTCGAAATTGATTCGATCGGTAGAAGCCGAGTTTTAATGATTGAAAATGAGAATAAGTGGTAGAATTTAGTCGAGGAATGTTGGACTAAGGCTACTGGAAACAAGTTGGGATTTATCGGTGGATTTCATCGGGTGTTTGGATTCTGAACAGTGGGAGAGAGTTCGGGAGAGAGTTCAGTCCGCAGACGCTCGCTAGCAGCTCGCTAGGCGAGCAGGTCGCGAGTGTTCGCTAGCATCTCGCTAGGCGAGTGCGTAGCGAATGGTCCCAGACTTGGGACAGTGGTGTTTTGGTCTCCTTCGCTGGCAGCGAATGGAGTAGCGAATGACTCGCTGGGGGTTCGCTGTGGCGAACGAGGTAGCGAACGAAGTCTGTAGCTTCTGTTCTTGCTCGCTAGCAGTTAGCTAGGCGAGAAGGTGGCGAACGTTCGCTAGCAGCTCGCTAGGCGAGCGTGTAGCGAACGTAGCAGGATGAATTTTCCCTGTCGCGTGGTACCGTCGTGGCTTGGGCTTTCGGTTGCGATCGATCCTTCTTTGATTTAATAGCTTATATGCTGGTTTGTGATGTACTGTGGGTAGCCGTAAGGCGTGAATCCTATTGTATGAATGTGATTTTGAATCGTGGCCTTTGGGAAAATTATGCATTGTTTAGAATTGAATAAAAATGCATGGCAATTGTGATGAATGATGAATATAATACACATTGTGAGTGCATGATAATTGTACGTGTTGATGTGTGAAGAATGCATGATAATATATTTGCGAATATGTATGCATTTGTTATATTTGATCCCGTGTAGGATCTGCAGAACCTCGCTTGATGCGATGGTTATATTTGATCCCGTGTAGGATCTGCAGAACCTCGCTTGATGCGATGGTTATATTTGATCCCGTGTAGGATCTGCAGAACCTCGCTTGATGCGATGGTTATATTTGATCCCGTGTAGGATCTGCAGAACCTCGCTTGATGCGATGGTTATATTTGATCCCGTGTAGGATCTACAGAACCTCGCTTGATGCGATGGTTATATTTGATCCCGTGTAGGATCTGCAGAACCTTGCTTGATGCGATGGTTATATTTGATCCCGTGTAGGATCTGCAGAACCTCGCTTGATGCGATGGTTATATTTGATCCCGTGTAGGATCTGCAAAACCTCGCTTGATGCGATGGTTATATTTGATCCCGTGTAGGATCTGCAGAACCTCGCTTGATGCGATGGTTATATTTGATCCCGTGTAGGATCTGCAGAACCTCGCTTGATGCGATGGTTATATTTGATCCCGTGTAGGATCTGCAGAACCTCGCTTAATGCG